GTTCCACTATATGCAGTGGACTCCCCGACCAAAAGGCTAAACGGATGCCAGAAGTCCCTAGAATGGATGACACCCAAAAATTTCTGGTACCATCACTGTTGGGCTAATGCTTCAGCCTTACTGGTTTCATGCAATATATGCACGTGAAAACTGATTTTAAAATAAGTTCATTTTGACCACCTGGAACTTGCACTTTGTTTATGTTTTTTTTGCACCTGCCCCATCACCCTATGCTTCCTCAGTCTCTCTTGGTGCTATAGTTTTTAAAACATAGAAAATCCTCTTCTTCATTAATCTTCAGCTGCATAAATTTAATGTATCAAATATTAAATATACAAAAGTCTAGCTTGGACTGGTAAAATCATGATGATAGCCAAGAGAAAATGACTGTGTGACTACGAAGCTATAATGGCCTGTGCAAGGTGGTCGTCCGACCTACTTCCACACGCAGCGAAGTATCTGATGGAGGCTACAACATGGATTTGAGGTGTCAAGGGGAAATATTTTACCAGTGTACCAACTCCTCCTGAAATCCTTCTTTCAAACAAGTTAAGATTAAACTACCATTTCCCTTTCTAGGATACTGGTGTACAAAGTTGCTATATACCTGCTGTCTAATTCAGTAAGTAATTTGTTAGTGATGCAAGAGATGTAAATTAGAACATAGGGATGCAAAACCTGCCATTACTGCATGAACTCTCATATCAAGAGGGCAATCGGGAGCAACAATGATCATTACCTCCACATTATTAATGTCACAGAACCAGTAAATCAAATGTTTAATGTTAAAAGTAGGTGCTGAAATGTTAATGTTAAGATGTGAATTTTAAAAGACTGTAGGGTAAACCAAATCAAAGTCATTTACAGATTGGAGTTGTTTTTCTCGAACTGTCAGTGAGGAAAACTCTAAATTTGTCATCTGCTGTTCCCTGCTGCCCCTCTGTACACCAATGCCCCAAGAGGAAGAACACATTTGTTCCTATTGACGTTATCAGAGCAGTAAGGAAAATGCCACCATGCATATTTTTAGCAAAATAAAATTACTCTTAAACTTACAGTACCTCAGAATGAATGTAATATCAACAGAAAAACTGTTTCCTTTAATGTGTGTTAAAGAATTAGTAACGAAAATGCTCTTGGAGAATTATCATAACATTATTTTGGTCAATAAAAATTTCAGTGAAATAATCACACTAGTATAACACAAAAAATACATAAACAGAAAGCAAGATGGGTTTCTTCATAAACCTTTCTCAATTGACCATGGGAGAAAAAAATGAAGAGGAAACAGAAAGTGGCAAAAAAAAAAAAAAAGAGAGGAAGTAAAATAATAAAAGAAAAAAATAAACAGGCAAGGGAACAAGTAATACTTAAAAAAGTGACACACAATTAAAAAAAAAAACATAAATCAGCAAAAAATGTTGCACTGGAGGTTCTGTTGCACATTACGAGGTGTAAAGAGGAGCCGAGGCTCCAGCTCGAAGGTGCGCACACACACCACCCTCCCCGGCCTCCAACCCGTCCACAGTACCTTGGCTGAAGACGACAGACTGAACTCATTCTCATTCCACCACGAAAGGCGGTTCGACGCAGCCCTCTGCCTGGTAGAGTTGGCCGAGCCAGGGACCCCATAGACTGGATCGGGCTCAGCAAACCAGTCACTCTGCTCATCGTCGGCCTCACGTCCTTCATCGCATGTGTAGATTCCTGCCTCACTCTCTGTACTGCTCTCACTGCTGCTGTGCTCCCTGTAAAAGGAAGGGGCCCGATTAGCCACTTGGGAAACATTTCTCAGCCCTGCGACACATAGGTTGATTTTTCCAGATAGCGATACGGTTTTCCTTGCACAGACTCCATATTATCTTTTTTGGTAGTCCATAAGAGCGCAATAATATCAATAAGTAGAACTTTATTTTTCTTAACATTCAATATCTTGTAATACAACCTACACTGCCAGTCACAGCAAGCAGAAATAGGACCCTGAGCATGGGAAGAGCATCATCCCTGCAGCTGGCTCTCTTCCAGTCATGGCTCACGGAGGGTACGTTCAATACTCATTTTATCAATGGAAATAACCTAAAAGCCCCTTCCTTAATGCTTACTAAGTCTAATCACCCTGCAAAAGCTCTGTGCACTCATGGTGAGTCAGTTCCATCACCCTGGCCCTCAGACAAATTTTCCCCATGACAGAATGATCACATCACCTGTCCCTCAAGCTAATTTGTTCATGATGTGATGGGCAAGTCATACAGATCATAGGATTTAAGCACGTGATGCCAAGAGTGAAGGTATATGTACATGTACTGCCCACTGTATTCTCTTTCATCAACCCATTCAATGCAGGTGGCTTCATATGCCATAGATGTACTGGACAGTCACGGATGGCACTACACAATGACATGACCCGCACCACTTGCTCATCAGAGGGAGCTCCCCATGTTAGCAATATTATTTCTTTTGTGTCACTATTATATTTAGGCACCTAAGAATGCCATAAACT